GCCTGGGCAGGGGTGTGGGGAGCTGGGCTCCGTGGCTAGGCGAGCACGGGTTCCTTGCAGCGGATGGGAGAGGAGACCCTCCATTGGAGTCGCAGTGGGTGCAACCCAGCTGGTGGAGAGGCCGGGGCAGCACGGGCACAAGCGGGGCGGGCTGGGTGGGGCCTCTCGCCCGACCCGCTGAGCACCCCGACACACTTGGGGATCGGCCACCCGCCCTCCCAAAACTACAGCACCACCCGAAGAGCCCCCTGAAAGAGCTGTGTTTTAAGGGCTTCTCAACCTAACCTAATTCAGCGTATGTTTTTTATTCTCCTGATGCCATTGCCTACCATTGATATCTGTGCATATGTGATCCGCTTCCCCAGCGAAACAGCCTTGGCCCCAGGCCGGGTCATCTACCTGACCTGCCTCGTGTGTTCGTAACATGACTTGGCACTCTCTGGGTGCGGATGCTCATGTGTCCCGGCCTCGTGGTGGGTGTGTGCGTGTGTGTGCGCATGTGCTTAGAAGCCTGGGTGTGGGTCCTGGTGTGTGGGTCCCGTGTGCACGCATCTGCAGGGCTGGGCGCGGGAACGTTTCTCCTGGGTCACAGAAGTGGCCTCCGCGGCACAGGCTGGTCGGAGGGCGGCAGTGATGTCCCTCAGCGGAACAGCCTGCCGTCCGGCCAGCACTGCCCCCAGCCTGGCGGGGGCGCCCTTGACTCCCGCCGCGGCCCTGCCCACGGCTGTCCCTGGCCTCAGGTCACACACCCAGTAAATGCCCCCGCTAGGGAGCAGGGCACAAAGCGCAGGCCTCAGCGGGACGCAGGGCCGCGGCTCGGGGGAGCCACCAGTCTGGGTGAGGGGCCTGCTGTGTGAGCAGGGGGAGGGTGTGAAGAGGAGCTTAGGGTGGAGGTAGGGAGGGTGCCACAGGAGCGACCAGCACTCTTCCCGGAGCTCCATTTGTGGAAAGTCCTTTTATTCCTGTAGAAAATCACAGGTGCCCTCGCCTCCCGCACTCGGGAGCCCAGTAGGTTTCGGTGACGTGGGATTCTCCCCAGACTCTGGCTGTTCGCACCAGAGGGTGCTTAAACCACGTCCTGACCCAGGGACTCTATGTGAGCCTGTCCCTTGGCCAGTGCTGCGTGTTTTCGCAGCTCCACGCTCCTGACCGGACCCACGGAAAGCGTGTCCACACGCGGTCCATCCTCAGCCCACACACCGAGTGTCCACGCGGCATTTCAGAGCACAGCCAGAGCGCGCTCGGCTCCTGAGGACGTTTCCGTCCGTGCGTATTTGTGTGACTCGTCCCCCAGAAATGCCAGGTTGTCATGTTCTGTCACACGGTGTCATTCTAACCACCTGACAGTGTGATCTCAGAAGACACCTGGGAAGCCTGAGTCTCCCTCAGCCAGCAGACTGTCTCCCACTTGGGACGCTAATGTAAGTGGCCTCGAGCTGAGCTGACAGGGCTCTTCTCCCCTGGGGACGTGGGTCTCAGATGCTCTCCACGTCTCAAGGCCTTGTACGCGGAAGGAAGACCGGGCACGCTGGACATTCGTCTTGTGTGTGCCCTGTGACCCCGACAGGACTGGACCCAGGCCAGGGCGCCCCGTCACTCCCGAGTGAAACCAGGGCACGGGTTCGCGCCTGGGACGCCTGTTGGGTGACCTTGGGCTTCTAAGAGGCGCATACCATAGACGGCAGGGACACCGCCTGCCCGGGTGCTGAGTGGCGAGGGCTGTCTGCCTGGAGTAAAGCCGTGGTGCCGGCTTCTGTATTCATTTTCACTGCTTTCTAAATTAGCTGGGAACTCTGGGGTGAAGGATTGTCAGGTAAGCATTCCTCGGTTTTCCTGTGTGTGTGGTGTGAATCGGTGGCCGTGCTCACACTGTCCTCAAAGTCAAGCGTGATCTTGAGTCCATGTATCGCTCTTTCTCCTTCGAAATCAATAAAAGTATTTTGTAGAAACTGGTCACTGTTTGTTTGAATTTGAACCGTTTGTAGCTCTTGTCGCAGGTCCGCCGTGACGGAGGACGCGCCGACGCCACCCAGCCGTGGGAGCGCAGCCCGGCTGAGGGTGTGCAGGGCCGTGCTGCTCTGAGCGCCTGGACGAAGACGGACAGCACTCTCCTTTCACCTGAAACGTGTGCTAAGCCCCGTGGCTTCGTACGGGTCTCAGGGAGTCAGACTTGGAGGCGTGTGTGTGTGTGTGTGTGCGCGCGCGTGCACGCGCGCGTGTGTGTGGTGGTGGTGGCGGCAGTGGGCTGGGGGTGGTACATACTCTTGCCCTGTATTTGCCAAGTCTCTTTCTGGACCAGTCCTACTTAAGAACCATGGCCTGTTAACTCCCACGTAGTTTCTGCTTAGCAGGAGTGAAAATTCTGTCTTGATGGATTCAGACCATAAGAGAGTCTTCATTTAAAAAAAACGAATAGTGTAGGGTACCAGATTTAGGAGTAAAAGCACTACTTTCATAGTTCCGGGGTTAAGGAGTCAGCTTTCAGATGGCTTATTAAAACTAAGTTTTGTCCCATGATGTGTCCGGGTGGGGGGGGCGGGGGGACAGGCATGTGCTTCCCACACCTTCACCTTCCCCGGCATCCCTGCTGCTGACACACCTGGATACAAGCCCTGGTTTTGGTCTCATGTCAGAAACCTGCTGGCACACGACCTTGCAGATGCCCCTGTCCCTGGGTTGGTCCACTGTTTCTGTACGGGTGGTCTGAGTCTAGCCACAGAGGCTGAGGCTGGAGACCCACCAAGAGCACTCAGGGATGCCCGCATAAAGCCAACCAGGCTTGTTTTCCGTGCAACACACCCCGGAGACCCATTGCCCTGGCACTTTAGAGGGCGTGGGTGCCGACGCCCCTGCTGAGCCCGATCGACACCCCTCTGGAGGTGGGACGGCACACCCCACCCGCCCACCCACCTAGTTGCCTGTTTCCATCTGCTTTGCGAGTTACAAACCTAACAACAACCCTCCAAAGGGCGGTGGGGTAAGTAGGCATCTCTGCTTCTAATGATGGATGAAGGGAGGAATTTGGCAAAACCGGAGAAGCAGCCCTGTGCCCTGGGCTGCAGCCAGTGTGGTCACCACCACCGCACCCTCTCCTCTCCCGAGGAGCACTCGGCAGCGGGCAGGCCTGCAGAGGGCCCTGGCTGGGCGACGGGCATTCTGGAGGAGAGCCGGCCCCCTACTGCCTCCCAGATGGGGGCACCCGTTTGATCTTGCCCCCTGTCGCCTCGCCTGCCACCCCCCTTGTGGCAGCAGGAGCCTGGGTGAACCTGGGGCGCACCCTCACGTCAGTAAAGATCTAAAGGTCGATTCCGAGGCCCCTAAATTAGCAAATTTTACTGTTTGTTCCACAAACGTCAGTTACTGCCGTTTACACTTCAGATACTGTGCCAGTTACACTTCAGATACTAATGCAGCCGTGACACGAACACACGCGTCGGGTGATGAGCTCCGACTGCTTCAGAACAGACGTAGGCATAAAGTCTCGGTGAAATTCAAAACTTAACACCGATCCTCGTTAGACTGTTTACAGATAGGTGCAGATGCAGTCCGGTCGAGAGTTGAAAGCTACTTAATTAGATGCCAGTGCCTGGCGAGCTTGCTGTTCTCAAAACAAATGTAAATGCTGAGTGATTTAACCGTCTTCCCCCATGATGAATAGGACAGCAGAGGCTGGAATCTGCAGAGGGCTGCCGAGGTTAGGGGTGTAGTGATCGCCCTCTAGTCTGCATATTCACCCGCTGTAAGTTTCCCTTGTGAAGGCACGCTTCACCAGGACTGAGACCCAAGCCTCCCCGGATTTAACACCATGACTTCCCTGCCATGCACAGCTTACTGACCTCTGGGGCCTGACCCCGAGCCACAAGCCGCAGTTGGGCTTTCCCTGCGTGGTGTACAGGTCCCGGGGACTTCCCCCTCACCCAGGCTCCCCGGCCCTGGCTCGCACCCACCCACCCACGTGGCTGAGCGCATTCCTTCACCGTGGCTCTCGTGTCAGGTTCTTCAGGGAGAGCCAGGCTCGCAGAGCAGGTCTGCAGGCTCTGGGGCCGCTGGCAGCCGACCCGCGGTCCAGAAGGGCCAGATAGCCATGTTAGCAATTGACCAAACCCCAGGCTGGGTCTGAGGAAGCAGTCAGATGTCCAGTAAACTGCTACGGTGAGAGGAGTGCCCTTGTAAGTTATCCTTAACTCGTGTTAATTAGGAAATGAACTTGATAGATTAACCCTCAGGTCTGCTGAGCAGAAACGTTTGCCATGTGGCACAGTGTGGGCTGCCTGATTTTCCAGTCTGTTCCCTCCTTTGCCTGGCTCTTCCCTTTCCTGGATACACAGCTTTTGTTGGAGGGCTGATGGGGGGGGGGGGCCAGGGAGAGGACGTTCTAGAAGCCATGTCTCTTGAGGTGATGGCGAGGTCCTGGTGTGTTACGAGCGGATGTCCTCAATGGACATCTGTGCTCTCGCACATCAGCTATGAGGCAGGAGGCCCAACCTGGGAGGGAGGGAGGGTCTCAGTATGCTGTCTGCGCAGATGCTGGGGTTCCCCAGCTCTCTGGCACCCCTGATACTCCTCCTCAGAGGCTGGACGGGCCATCCACCAACCCTCGAGTGCTCAACCTATCAACCCATCTCTGTCGGAATTTAGGGAGGTTAACAGACGTTTGAGAATTGTATAATGGCACCCACAGAGAACTATTTCAAGTGACTTGTGATCATCTTTAAAACCAAAAGGAATAGGGAAACTACTGATTTTTAGTAAGTCGAGAACGTATACGTACCACGTGCATAAACATCCACATTCTATGGTGATGTTATCAGTTGAGTTTATACGATCTGATTTTAAATATGCTAGTGACATAAGTTTTTGTTCTTTGTATGTCATTTGTGCCTAAAATTACTGCTTTGTGACTTGGGGTGGCGGGGTTTTGTTGTTGTCCCTCTTTTGGTGTTCTGGATTTATTGTGAGTGTGGTTACCGAACTATTAACACCCTTGATAAAACGCACAGTTTAGGACGGAGTAAGCCTTTTTTATTTAAGAAATGGGTATTTTTAAGAACCATCCTGTGCCCAGGAACTTTTCCATGCGGACTGCTCTTCACGGAACACCCCGCCTTTGTCTTTAAGCACCCTGTCCCGTGTTCACAGAGACTGAGCAGGACTTGGCCCTTGTTGATGTTAACGGAATTCCCTTCTAAACCTACAAGGGTGTTTATCATAGCCCTTCCAGTCAGCTTGGTCTTTCCCATTAACTGTAACTGTGACGCCAGCAGCTGGGTGACCTTCCCTAATGGCACGTGCTGAGGGGATCGTTGCAAACAAGCCGTGGAACTGCTCCCTAATGGAACCTTCGGTATTCGTACGTGTAGCTTGAATTATGTAGCGCAGTGCGTGAGTTCCAGGAAGGGCTGTTACCTTTCTGATGTGTAGTGAGAGGCAAGTAAAAGAACAAAGCTAAGATTTTGTTTAAAAAAAAAAAAAAATTCTGGTGCGTACATGCTTCATCTCTTATAGGTCAGCAGATGCTGACGTTTGCACGCTGGCCTCGCCGGCCTCCTCCGTCGTGCCATTGCTTTAATTACATCTGATCTTTAAATCTGTAACGTAGGCTCTGCTCATTGGGATGACTTGACTCATGAACTGGGCCCTGGGTTCTGTGGCTGTGACGTGGGGGCTGGACGGCGGAGGCGACGGTGTGCCCCGGGGTCTTTTGTTTGCAATAAGCTGTTCAAACACTCGATTGTGTTTTGCCAGCGAGTTTCTTCCTCCTTCCTATTGAAACGTGCCCCATCACTGCCCTTGACAGGGTTTACGTCTGGAGAATATCGGCTATCGTTAAATTCTGAACTCTGCACGATGTTTTGTTTTTCAGGTCTTGAGTCACCGCGCCCCAACATCATCCTCGGGTTGGTGATCTGTCAGAGAATAAAACGCCCTTCAAGTGCTGGAGAATTAGATAAGGTAGAGGAGAAGCGGACCCGACTTCAGACCCAAGAAGAAACCGAGGTTTCTGTCTATCCCAAAGTGCCTGCAGCCCCGCAGTCTGAGAGGAAACCCCCCAAGCTCCAGGTCTGCTCCGGGGACGTGGCCGGCAGCACCACACCCCCAGGGACTCCTCCCCCGCCGCCCCCTCTGCCCGAGCCACCCAGTGCCCCGGCGTCGTCGTCCGTGTTGAAAATCCTGTCGTCGCTCAAACCAGGAGCCACGAGCACTACCACGGCGTCCTCACCCGCCTCTGCGGCCGTCACCGTGGCCTCTCCCTCCGCCAACCCCTCCACCTCGAAGACAGCCTCACCCCTGGAACACATCCTGCAGACGCTCTTTGGGAAGAAGAAGTCCTTTGACCCCCCTGCCAGAGAGCCCGTGGGGTCCACACCGGCCTCCCACCAAGACCCCAAAGCCACGGCCGACAGCGGGCTGCCCGCGGCGCCTTTACTGGACCCGATCGTCCAGCAGTTCGGTCAGTTCTCAAGAGACAGAGCTCTGGAGGACGAGGAAGATGACAGACCGTATGACCCCGAAGAGGAGTACGGGCCCGACAGAGCCTGTGACGCTCAGCTCGAGCGCGGGAGGCGCCCCGATGGGGACAAGGCCCCAGAGACGGCCGAGCGGGAGGAGGTGGCCTATGACCCGGAGGATGAGACCATCTTGGAAGAGGCCAAGGTGGCCATCGACGACCTGCCCAACAGGATGTGTGCGGACGGGAAGGGCGGCTCCGCCGAGAGGCCCGGCGAGCCCACGGCCGCCGGAGCGGCCCCCTCCCTGGTCGAGCAGCAGCAGATGATCGAAGAGCTCAACAAGCAGATTGAGGAGCAGAGGAGGCAGGTGGAGGAGCAGGAAGCCGCGCTCCGGCAGCAGAGGGCCGCCGTGGGGGCCTCCATGGCGCACTTCTCCGTGGCCGACGCGCTGCTGTCGCCGCCCCCGAAGTCCCTGCCCCAGGCCGAGCTGTTCCCGCCGGAGCAGCAGGTCGCGTGCCGCCCGCCGGCACTCCCCGGCGCCCCTGCGGGGGCGGGCCCCGGCCCCGGCTGCGACCCGCGGCAGAACCGGGACCCCCGGCAGGCCCGGCGGCTGGCCACAGAGCACAGCGAGGGTGAGGCCGGCTCCAGGCCGCCCGCGGCCCGGGAGGAGGGTGCAGAGGCGGCCCCGCAGGCCAAGCCAGACGGCCCCAAGCGCGAACACCCCCCCGCGAGCCCGGTCCCACCGCCCGTGGACGGTGGCGCCCCCTCGGCGGGCTCCAGACCTGCCCGCAAGGTGCTGCTGCCCACGCCCCCCGGCGCAGCCGCCTTTCAGCCCGGCTTCCCTTTGCACGGCGACGCCCAGAGCTTCCCCTCTGCCGGCGGGAGGGACCCTTTCTCTGGTGCCTCTCAGGACAAAGCGCTCGGCTCGTCCCAGTACGAGGATCCGAGGAACGCTCCGTTTGCCGAGAAAAGTGACCACCCGACCGTCGAGCCTGAAGGAGACAGGGAGCCGCAGTGCAGACCTGGCGAGGGGGCCGCCACTCTCCCGGCACCTGGACAGAGGGTGGGGGGCCCTCCGCCCGCGCCCCAGGGCCAGCGGGAGCCGGCACCACGTGCTTTCGGCACGTCTGGGCTTCATGGCCCCAGTTTCCCAGGACCGAGGGGGTCCGTGCCTCCTTTCTCAGAGGAGAGTATGGTTTCCAATAGCGATGGGCCACGGGGGCCTCCGCCAGCCAGGTTCGGGGCTCAGAAGGGGCCCATTCCTTCCTTGTTGTCAGGGCCACACGGGCCCCCTCCCTACGGGGACAGCAGGGGCCCCTCCCCCTCCCACCTTGGGGGGCCCAGGGGAGCAGCACCCCAATTCGAAGACCGGAAGGACCCCCACGGGGAGAAGAGGGAGTTCCAGGACGGCCCGTACGACGAGATGGCCGGCCCCCCCTCTCAGTTCGAGGGACCAGAACAAGCCCCCTTCATGGCGGGCAGAGGCACGGCGCCTTTCCAGTTCGGAGGCCAGAGGAGGCCTCTGCTGTCACAGTTTAAGGGCCCCAGAGGAGGTCCCCCTCCCTCTCAGTTTGGAGGTCAGAGAGGGCCCCCGCCCGGCCACTTCGTGGGCCCGAGGGGGCCGCATCCCGGTCAGTTCGAAGGACCCAGAGCCCAGGCACCAAACTTCATGCCGGGGCCCAGGGGGATCCAGCCTCAGCAGTTCGAGGAGCAGAGGGTGAGCTCGCCCCCGAGATTCGCCGGCCCCCGGGCGCCAGCGCCCCTGCCGTTCGGCGGGCCGAGAGGGTCGGCGCCCTTCCCCGAGAAGAGCGAGCCCGCACCGCCCCGCTTCCACTTCCAGGGCCCGCCGGCCCCGGGGCTGAAGCCGGCCCCCAGGCCGCTGCTGGAGCTGCCCAGCCACCCGCCGCCGCACCGGCCGGAGCGCTGGGACGAGGCGCCCGCGCAGGGCCCCGAGGCCGACTTCCGCGAGGGCAAGGGCCACGAGTACAGAAGCCAGGCCTTTGAAGGGCGGCAGAGGGAGCGGTTCGAAGCCGGGCCCAAAGAGAAGCCGCTGGAGGAGCCCGAGGCCGCGCCGCCGGAGAGCCGGCCGGGCAGGGCCCTGGAGGAGCGTCGGCGGGAGCGGGGGCGGCGCTGGAGCCGGGAGCGGGACTGGGACCGGGGCCACGAGCGGGGCCGTCACCGCGACAAGGACCCGGGCCGCGAGTGGGACCGGAGTCGGGAGCGCGGCGCCGACAGGGACCGAGGGCGGGAGCCGGAGCGGGCGGCCGAATGGGGCCGGAGCCGGGAGCGCAGCCGGAACCGGGACCGGGAGCGCCGGCGGGAGCGGGAGAGGTCTCGCAGCAGGGAGCGCGGCCGGGACCGCACCCGCGAGCACGGCCGGGAGCGCAAGGACCGCAGCAAAAGCAAGGAGGGCGCCCGGGACCCCAAAGCCGAGGCGCCTCGGGCCGCCACCCCCGCCACCCAGACCTAGCGCCGGCCGCGCAACGCTCCCGCGGGGCCGGCGCCCGGGTCGTGGTGAGCGCCTGGGTGTGCAGAGAGCTACGAACTGCGATGCAGAATAGAACGTTCTGGACTTCGACGATTGCTGTAATTTTGTGTATAGTGGTTTCTTACAAAATTTCACATCTTTACAATTCTGTTGCTTTTTAAAAAAAAAAACAAAACTAAACTAAGAACTGAATATTTCCATTTAAAATCACTGAAATGGGAAAGCGTCTACAGAAGCATATTGCTTTTTCAAATTATAAAGTTATCTTTTCCAATAACTTGAGTCTAGTAACTTTTAAGGGAATTTCAGTGGACCCTAGAGCCATACCTTCGCTGACCTCTCACCTGTATTTCTGTTTCCAGAAGCTGTTGTCACAGGTGTCACAGGTGTAGTGCTCGGGGGCAGGTGGCCTGCTTTCTCCTCGCTCCCTGGGGTGTCAGATGCACAAAAGCCCACAAATGCATTTTCCTTTTGTCCTAAAGAAATTTGAATTGCAAATTTCAACCAGGAAACAAAACATTTCTTAGTTTTGCTCAGTTTTTATATATCACTTTATACATTTTTCTTCAAAAACGTGATTGAAAGCAACATCTGTCCAAGTAGAAATTGTTGCATTTTAAATAGCAATCTATTGAAAAAGGTGTAACCTTTACCAGCCTAAAGAAAGTGAGAAGATCAGCCAATTAAGTGTACTTTAAAAAGGGGGTGGGGGGAGGGGGGTTACTTGGACTTGAACGATCAGGAACATTTTGTTTGTGAAACCCGACCCTCTGAGCAGTGCTTCCTGTGTCCCAGGGAAAGGGCACCAGCTCCAGACTGTTACACTGTCCGGTGATGCATTTTAGAGTTTGTCATTGAAAGCGAAACAGTACTTGTGTGAAGTCTGGGACGGAAACCAGTGATCGTAGTTAGAGAGCTACAACTCAGGAAGCTGTTGGCTGAAACGGCGGCCTGCCTTCTGTGGCGTATTTGCAGGTACTTCCGGAGCGTGAGAGGGAGGAAACCTTGCTAATTTATTTGACTGTACAAATACACTTTGATAATTTTTTATATTTTCATAAACTTACTTTTGCAAGTGTAAAATGAGAGAATTTCATTCATTCTTTGGAGTCTGTTCCATCGTACATCACTACAGATTTTTCACTTTCTAGCACAAACGTACAAATGGTAAGAACACGGAGGACTTAGTGATCTGGAGGGACTGGGATTCCAGAGCAAACGTCAGGTGACACCGCAGCCGAGTGCTGAAAGTTCCAACGTCTCCTACGATGCGAAGGGTTTTTTACATGTAAAACACATTTTTCTAATTTAAATACACAAATGTAAAAATCAAGTGTGTTTCTTTAGGTTTACTTGATAGAAATTTCTGTAAATTGTATTTTATATTACAAAGTATTATATCACTGTACATTAAAACACGGAACTGCATAGGTTTTGTTACTTGAAGTAGAATAAACATCTACAGAAGGTTTTCTGGCGCGCCTGTGTCACTTCCCCTGTCGGGAGTCGGGCTGGGGGGCCCCTCGGCGAGCTCGCACACGCCCACCCCTGCCCTGTGCCGACGACCCCCACCCCCCGACTTTGAGTCGGGTGACCCACCCTACCGCTCTGCCTGCTCGAGCGGTGCCTGGTGCCGTGGCCGCCGTGGCCTGGAGGTGTGGTGGAGCTCGTGGCCCAGGCTCCGGTGCCGCGGGTGGAGTGGGTGGCCGTGGCCGAGCCGGCAGGCTGACGCGGTGCCTTCAGGGCGAGGGGAACGGCTCCCAAACCTACACGCGGCCACTGCCGGGGCAAAGGACACGGCGTGGGCGTTGCCCTGGAACTTCAGCGCCCAGCTGCCCCCCCCAACTGACCTCAGTCCGATGACCGTGTCCCAGAAGCTCACTCTCAGCAGGCACGTCCCCAGCCCCGCTGTGAGCAGAGGCAGAGAGAACATCCTTCCTGAGGACGCTCCCGTCCTGTTGGGTGTCCTGTCACCAGTGGTTGGCAGGCGTCCCAGCCCAGCACAGGGCAAACCAGGGAGGACCCCTGGACACAGAGCAACCAAGGAGGGTTCCGCAGGGGGCAGCACCCGGCCCCCCAGGCCGCTGTTGCCTCAGAAGGCTGTGCTGAGCCGAGACGGCCCACAAAGGCGCACGGAGGCGGGCGGCCTGTTTGCGGGGAACCGCGAGGGGCCAGGCCTGGCCGGGTGCAGGGCCGCCGTACCCAGAGCTGACCGGGGACACCGAAGAGGCTGGGCACGGCGCCCAGGCCTGCACAGTGCTGTCAGAGGGGTGTCCCCGGAACGTCGGGAAACCGGGCCCCGTTTTCAAGTTCTCAGTCCTTCGTACGCTCACTGCTCAGATGTTTGCCTTCAGTTGTGTTCACCCCAGAGCCACGGCACCAGGCATCCACGGCACCAGGATGCTCTGTCCTCACCCTGCCGCCTGCCACCCCCGTCACCCCTCCAGCCTGTGACCCCATTTAGCCAACGGGACCCCTGAGCTGCACGTGGGTCTCCAGAAACCCGAATAGCGAGGAGTCTGGCTTGAGGATGCGGCCCTCCTTCCCTGAATCTTTTTCCCCTCTGTTTTCTTTTGTTTACAAAATTGGGATTCTATACATTCTTGTATCTTTTTTTTTTAATTTGCTTTGTCCTGGGAAATTCCCAAAGGCATCAAATATTCATCAAAAGACATTTTGGAGGCACCTGGGTCGCTCAGTCGGTTCGGTTGAGCGTCCGACTTCGGCTCGGGTCATGATCTCACGGCTCGTGGGTTCTAGCCCCGTGTCGGGCTCTGTGCCGACAGCTCGGAGCCCGGAGCCTGCTTCCGATTCTGTGTCTCCCTCTCTCCCTGCCCCTCCCCTGCTCATGCTCTGTCTCTCAAAAATGAATAAACGTTAAAAAAAATTTTTTAAGTCATTTCGTATTTTTCCCATTGTTGACAAGGTTTGTATCTTCTCCTTTCAAGAGAATGATGCTCCCTGTAGATCCGTGAGGTCCTAAGCATCAACCACGGAGCATGTAGGAAATGAAAGGAGCATATGAAGAAAATGAAGATCTGCCGTCCCCTCCCCGTGAATGTGGTCATCCAGAAACATCCAGACACAAGCCTTCCTAGCGGTATTTCCAGCCCCTTTCTTATGTGCACGTGTTGCTGATGTTCGGGTGCATCACCAAGGACACGCATTTAGGAAAAGCCCAATGAACAGAGACCACCTAGCGTATGTCTGCGTGCTTCACACGCACCTAGAGGCAGGCAGTCCCAGTGGGTAGAGCGGCCTCCGTGTCCCTGACAGCCCCGTCCTCAGCTTGTGACTTTGTCCTCATGGTTGCAAGAAGGCTGCCCCTGCAGGCGTGACATCATCATCTCACTGTTCTGGGAGGAAGCCAGCACGAGAGACAGAGCCGTAGCAGGGCAGCCCTGCCCCATCTGCCCTCCTGGTTGAAACTTTTGCTTATATCTTGTCGCCACACTGTGTCACACGGCCGAGTCCGGGCCTGCCAGAAAACCAGAGGAGGGGTCAGCACCGCGGCGAGGAAGGGCAGCCGGAGCCACAGCCAGGCAGGCAGTGCCCGGTTCCTATCAGTGACTTCTCCGTCACCTTCCACACCACCCAGCAGGCGCCCTGCTGGACACGTGCCCCCAAAGCATGCGTTATCCGCAGGGCAGTGTCACCCCCGTGGGGGCCAAGGCTGGTTCTGGGGGTACAGGTCTTAGCTACTGCAACGGTCTGTGGCCCTCCGAAGGGCCCAGCGCCGAGAAAAGTCTGGAGGGGCTTCTTGGGGAGCTGCCGTTTTTCAAAGGGTGGGAAGCTGCCCTACACGGAGGAAGACTTCTGCACACACGAAAATCTGTAAGCAAACATCTACAGTGATTTACTCATAACTGCCCAAACCAGGAGACCACCCGAAGTCCCCTCTGTCCACGCATGTCCCAGCCGGGGCTCAGCCGCAGCCCAGCCGTGATAGTGAGCACGAGCGGGCACAGGCCGCGGTGCGGGAGCCTCTGCTGTGTCGAGCGAGGGGGAGAAGCCAGACCGGAGGCCACCAGCCCATCACATGACAGCGGGGATAGATGGGGCTGGGGTGAGGGGAGCACACCGCTGGGGAGCGGCACCAGGGAGTCACCGGGGTGGGGTGTTGGCTGCGTGGCTGTTTGCAAGTGCCAAAACTCACAGAAGATGCCCAAGCGAGTGACGGTTACTGGAAGTGACGCCGTGTCGCCCAGACGAAGAGTGGAGGCCGGGCGTCGCGTTGGCAGCAACCAGAGGTGAGTCCTACCCCCCCGCAGCTGCACTTGTACACATACACAAACACACACACACACGTGTGCACATGCACACTCACGCACACTCACACCCATGCATGTGCGCACACATCAGGGACAAAAAGAAAGGAGCTCAACTCTGGAGGTGATTCTGCAGCAGTCCGGCTTTGTTCGCCCGAATACGGCAAAGCCTTATTCCGGCAGTGACTCGCCTTTGATTTCAGAAAAGACCCCCCACGTATCTGTAATTATACAGCAATAAGTGAACATCTCTTCTTCTTTAAAAAAACAGAACGGGGAGGGGGGGGGGAGGTGGCGCCCTCTGACCTGGGTCTGGGGTCTTTCCTCTGCCACTTCCTTCGTTCTGTCTCTGCCACGCGGCTGGATGACCCCTTGTCTGTCCTGCCCTGCGGATCCTGCCTCCTTGTCCTGCCCCTTTTCCTGGAACTCCTCCCCCGAATTTCTCCGGAAGGGACTTGGTCTACCCCTGGCTGCTTTCGCCGTGTTGGGATTTTGCAGGCTGTCACTGGAGACCGTCTGTCCCCGCTACCGCTCCTGATGCCTGTCACCTTGCCCCCGACCAGGGCAGCATGAAGCTCTGGCTTCTGCCAGCCCGTGCTCACTCTCATTTCTCGCAAGTTCGAAGCGGTTGCCTAGAACTTTCCCCTGGTTTGTCTTTCCTTCTGCGTGTGTGTGCGCACATGTGTCTGACTAATCAATACTTTGATAGCTGAGAAATCTTTGGGCAAGCAGAGGGAAACTCACATTTTGTTCCCCGTCCCATTTCTTTGTCTTACAAATCTAAGGAACGATGTTTCTTAAATAAATATTTAAACTCAAAATTAAATGTTTAACGTCCTTATAATCAGTATTTAATAATAATTAAATTTCCAGGGGCGCCTGGATGGCTCCATCAGCAGAACGCCCCACTTGGTTGAGCGTCCGACTCTTGATTTCAGCCCGGGTCACCATCTCGAGGTTCGTGAGATCCAGCCTTGCGTGGGGCTCTAGGCTGACAGCGTGGAGCCTGCTTGGGATTCTCTCTCTGCCCCGCCCCTGTCCACGTACTCCCTCTGTATATGTACGTCAAAACAAAGAAACTTTAAAAAGTAAATTTCCAAATACTTAGATATCAGTTACAAAGATACTTAATAAAAGCCTCCTAAGTGGCTAATGAAACTCACACCTGTAACAAAGGTTTATCAGATTCCCTCAGTCCTCGTCCACCTTGAGGAGCGAACAAAGCTCACAAACCACAGCGACAACGCGACGCTCGGCAAACAGCTTCCTGACTGCGAGTGCCGTGGGCGCAACTCGCTTCTTCATGATCTCTCCTTGCGTGGGTCATCCCGGGCACAGAGGACCCTGAAGACAGGGATACAGGATGGACAGACAGACAGGCATCAGGGAGGCTCCTCATGGCACCTACCCTGCCCGCTGTGGCCGCAGGGTGATGCTGTGGGCAGCCCGTGGTCCGCGCCCCACAGGCCAGAGCTCCAAGTCTGCGAGACAGGCAGAGGCAAGGGGAAGCAAGGTCAGGCCGGGGCAGGGGGTCGTCTGTCGTTCCGGCTTCTCCGGCAGGATGCCCTTGCCTCCAAGGTGGGAGGAGTGAGAGAGACACGTGTGCCGGTGCGTTCTCGTGGCTCACGTAGCCCAGCCACAGCCCATGCCAGCCACGTGAGCCGCCACGCACAAGACCCCTCGGTGCTGCAAAGCAGCCGGCGGGGGCTTCTCTTCCGGTGTCTGGATCTCACATACAAGTGCCGCTGGTGACCCCCTGAACTGGGAATATGCAGGAGAGGGCCTCCTGCTCTGCCAGCCCGGCCCCCAGCACAGCCCCCAGGCTGGCCCCCAAGCCTGCTCAAAGCCGCCTTTTAAACCTTAAGTTCCAAGGGTGCCTGGGTGGCTCAGTCGGTTACGCATCCAACTTTGGCTCAGGTCATGATCTCGCGGTTCGTGAGTTCGAGCCCCGCATTGGGCGCTGTGCTGACAGCTCGGAGCCTGGAGCCCGCTTCGGATTCTGGGTCTCCCTCTCTCTCTGCCCCTCCCCCAGTCATACTCCGTCTTTCCCTCATCTCTCTGAAAAGTAAATAATCATTAAAAAAATTTTTTTAAATAAAAACAAATAAACCATACACTCTAAACAAACACAATGGCAGAGTGGCGCTCCCACCTAACTGGGTGCAGCTATCCCGGAAATACGCCCACTCCCAGGAGGAGACAGTCCCTCCTTGCCCTGGCGAAGTTCAAGTTCGGTGTTCTCCACCGGCCCACACTCCCACCTGGAGCTCGGGTTGAGGTCAGCCACTCTCAACACACCCGATGTCAGACAAGAGGGTCAAGAGGGCAGAAGAAAGCAAGAGTATGCGGTTAATAAGCACACACATGTATGTTATCTCCGAAGCAGGAAGGGACACTCCTGGGGTGGTCACCTCTGCAGTGGGCCATGTGGCCGTAACCAGGGTCTCTTGGCTTCCTTGCCACCCAGTCCATGCTCCCTTGGTCCTGGAGCTCCTCACCCGGTCTAGACTCCCTGCCTGGTGGGTGCCCCAGAGCGTCCTTCCTTCGGGCCCGAACTATCGGCGATCCCGCCTGAATTGCCTCGTGGCGGCTTCACTGATTCAATCACAGGACTTGGGGGTTACCAAGAGGTGGCCCCAGGAACGCTCCAGCATCTCAGGCGTGTTCTCCTGACCCTCACTGACAAGTAGCAGCCTCACTGCCCTTGCTAGGAGGCCGGGTCACCCCGGCCAGGGCAGTCTCCCTCCTTTGCCCGTTCGTTCACTGGCATGGAGGGGCCGAAGTGGCCAGGTGGCCGTCCCCGCCGACAGCCCCGCGAGACCATCGCTGCGTCCTCTAGAGGAAGCTCTCTTCCCTTTGAACTGACTCTTCTAGAACCAGAAGTGGCAGGAACGGGCAGCAAAGATCCAGCTAGTGGATCAGCAGAGGGAACAGCGAGAGGCGCCACCCCATTTCCAGCCCTTGGTTCCCAGACCCACAAATCCCGGCGGTGGAGAAAGAGCATCATAAATTGGTGCTGACCCCGAGCGTGCGTCCTGAGAGGCAGCGCCCCAGCCCTGCAAGCTTCTCCCGCCACCCGGCTGGCGCCGTGACGGAGTCTTCCAAAGGCCGCCAAGTACCTCTCTCAGAAGGGCCCAAACCCAGAACTCTGACCCCAGACGCTGGCGAGGGCGTGGGCGGCAGGAGCGCTCACCCTGGCCGGCGGGAATGCGGCACGGCGAGGCCGCTCATGAAGGCAGCGTGGTGGTTTCTTACAAAAGTAAACATACTCTTACCGCACGATCCACAGCCATGTCCTTGGCAGTTACCCAAAGAAGTAGAAAACTTCCGTCCACACAAGAACCCGCACACGGATGTTTATGGCAGCTTTATTCACAATCGCCCAGACTCGAAGCAGCCAAGATGCCCTCGGTGGGTGTGGACCACCCAGACAGCAGAATATTATTCAGGGCTAAAAAGAAATGAGCTCCCAAGGCCCTGGGGACACATGCGGGAAGCTTAATCGCATATTACCAAGAGAAAGAAGCCAGTCAGAAAAGGCTACACACTGTGTGATTCCAACCGTATGACATTCTGGGAAAAGCAAAATCATGGAAACGGAGAAGTCAGTGGCTTCCTGAGGGGCAGGGAGGGGAGGGACAGGCGGAGCACCGAGGATTTTCAGGGAAGATGTTCAGTATGATACCCGACATACGTGTCAGATGCACGTTTTGTTAAGTTCAGACCTCGGCGTATTTTGAGTGGTGGTAAACGTATCGTATTTTAACGGCAGCATATACACGTCCACTGCCGGTGTATGGGAAGACAGCGGTATGTGTGTGCTGTTCTTTTCTGTGACCTTGCCGAAGTCACTTGTTAGCTTTTTTCCAGGTTCCGTAGGATTTTCTACATAGATCATACTGTCTGCACTTTTGTCTCCTTATGAATTCTTTTCTCCTGCTCGTCGTATTGCATAGACTCCGGTGTGATGTCAGACAGACGTGGTGATGGTGGAGATCTTTGCCCTTTTCCTAACCTGGGGAAAACATTCAGTCTTGTGCTGTTAAGTATGATGCTCGCTGTGGTTACTTCCCAGATGCCCTTTATCGGGTTGAGGAAGTTCCCTTCCATTCGTGCTTTGCAGTTTTTCTCAGAAATGGATGTTAGATTTGTCAAACACGTTCTTTTTTCTTGTTGCAATTTTGAGTTTATCATATTTTTTTTCTTTGTGGTCTTTTTAAAGTTTGTTTATTTTGAGAGAGAGAGAGAGAGAGCGCGTGCACTCATGCAAGCAGGGTTGGGGCAGAGACAGAGCATCCCAAGCATGCTCCCTGCTGTCAGCACAGCAAAGGGGGGGCTCGAACCCATGAACCGTGAGATCACGACCCGAGCTGAAACCAAGAGTCAGATACTTCACTGACCGAGCCACCCAGGCGCCCCTTTTTTGGCCGTTAACACAGTACATTATGTTGGTTGATTTTCGAATGTGAACGAAAAACTTGTGTCACTGGAGTAATCCCCACTTGGTTGTGATGTATCACTCTTCTTTAAAGATCTTGTTGCATTCAATTTGCTAAGATTCTATTAAGGATTTTTGCACGTTTGTTCATCAGACATTGCTCTGTGGTTTTATATTCCTGTAACATCTTTATCCGGTTTTGATATCAAGTCACACCGGTTTCACAGAATGTATGTTTCTATGATGGTTTCACATGCGGCACTTACCCTCATGAAGCGTGGCTCACACCGAGGGTGTGCTTTCGGTTTTCAATGGTGGGTCCACGGCCGCTAAGCTGACTCTGTGACCCACCGTGGGTCTTCCCCCAGATAAGGACCGCGTGTGCCGTGCTGATTCGACGCAGTCCCTTCTCCCGGCCCCTCTCAAATTCGATTTTCTTGCCTGTTTGGGGCAGAGGCTGCTATTCGCTCACAGGAGCCACGGCTGGAGACCTCACTCCCCGCATGCACGCCGGGCTGCGCCGGGATTCTCGGTGGGGTTCACAGCCCTGGGGGGCTGCCTCCCGGGGGGTGGGCGGCACCCCTGGGAGCTGCACTTAGACTTTAGAAAAGCACGTTTGGTATTCTCTTCACGTTTTACTTCCAACGCCAGTTCCAGTGAAGCCACATCATTCTCGCGAATATTCCACCTCTAAACAGAAGAGGCCTCGAAAACTGTCTGCGGGAACCCCACCCAAATGAGAAACAAACACACGTGGTAGGTGCCGACGGTCTTTAATTCCGGTAAGTGAAAAACCAAATCGGATATAATCTTGAGTTTACTTTCTCAGTGACACAGCACTCTGTGATTTTGCTGTTCAGCGAGGTCCTTTCAGCAGCAGCACGCGCATCAGATGGGGCTCCTGAGAAAGTGGCTTCCGGGTCCCACCCAGGCCTGAATTAGAATCTGCTTTTTAACAAGGTCCTGGTGACTCTGTGCGCATTGTGGTCTGTGTTGGTGCCGCGCTTGGAATGTTCCCAAAGTTTTACCCACGTCCCTCTGTGTATTTAGCGGCTTTGTAATTTCGCTTTTTAAACTTCCATATTTCAATCACCTCTAGCTAATCTCTGTGTCTGGTGTGGAAATAAGTGCTCTAGCTTGGTTTGCTTTTTTTTTTTTCAAAGGATGAATCCGCTGTCCTGATATCGTTTATTGAGGAGCCCACCACTTCCCTCCCGAGGACGTTTTAAGCGGGAGAAAACCCTTAAAACCACGTGCACGGTACGATCTCGCATGTGTTCACAGAAACGACGCGGCAGAGGGGCGCTGCGCACTCGGGGAGCACGACTGCGGTGTGCGCCGGGATGCGGCGGTATGACCGACACGTCACCAGGCTGCAGACCGCCTCCTCCCCGCACAGGTACCTCGCACAGGTACCCGGGGTAGGTGTAGTACCTGTGAACGGCTAGAGCGCACGCGCCCGCCCGGCCCCGGCCCCGCCCTCGCCCTCGCCCTGCGCGCGCATCCCCCGCGTCGCCCCGCCCCCGACCTGCGCACGCAGCCCACCACCGCGGCTCCCCACCCACCCACACACCTGCGCGCGCAACTCCCGTGGCACCGCCACCGCCCTCTCCGCCGTCGGGGGCGGGGCGCGGCGC